TTCTTATAAGTTGCTAAAAGGTGTCTTCAATTGTTCTTATAAGTTGCTCAAAGGTGTCTTCAGTTATTCTTATAAGTTGCTCAAAGGTGTCTTCACTTGTTCTTATAAGTTGCTCAAAGGTGTCCCAAGCTGCTCAAAAAAGTCCGGTTTTTGAAACTGGATGATTTGGCATTTGAATGGATTTAAACTGATTTGTTTTTGGTCTTGTTGTTGAAGAGTAATCTTTTAGAGTAACATTCAGTTTCACTTTATTCTGATTTTTTAATCAAGATTTTTAATGTTTCCATATAGTGAAACCTCATTCTAACGAATTAAAGATTAAGCCAGAAAAGAACACTTACTGTCTTGGAGATAAGGTTATTGTCACATGCAAAGCTGATGGTATCCCACCACCACAGATATCTTTGTTCCTTAATGGCAAATTGATTCAAAGTGAAAATACAAGTGTCGCAGTGACTCTATCACTCAATGTCAAGGGAGAGAAAAACTTGGACTGTGTAACCAACAATACTGCAGGAATTGGTCAGACGAGTAATGTAAAGCTTGTTGTAAAAGGTAAATTTGGAATTCTTATCTAAATACAAATTTTTCGACCTTTGTTTATACATGTCTGGACATGTCTTTGGTTTCATTAGTATTCGTAATAATAATTTAACCATTGCCTTGCCTTTTTATGAACTGTTTATTGGGCTCAAGCGTTTTTATAATAAACGTTTTGCAATGGATTTATTATATTATAATAGGCCGTTTGCGTGATCGCGTCATTTTACTACCACTACCAAAATGGGAAATTTTTCGCAAATTTTCTTTCTTATTCAAATTTGTATTCCCTCATGAGAAAAGTAAGACAGTTGGTGCTAATTAACTGAACAAAAAAGTGTGCAAGGGGGTCTGGTAATAGAGGTCAATGACGCCATCATGCAAACGTCCCATTATTATATGAGTTTTTACGTTACGCATGATTAAAAATGAAATGCAGTTTTAGAGATTCCTTATCATGGAACTTGTTATGTCCAACCATTACATTTCAAATCTAGGAATAAAAACTTAGAATAACAATGCCATTATTTTATTTACCGACCACGTGACGATAACTACCCAACCGCATAAACTAAATGTATACAAAAATTTAATTCAGTCTGGATCTGAAGACATTTTCTTAGGGAAATGAAACATGCCTTTGATTTTTGAGTTCAATAAACACTATATCAGGTATGGTAAAATGATGTCTTTTTTTTGATGCAGAACCTCCAAAGATAGGCCTATGCAGGATAAATGACGAAGAAGTGACAACTAAGTCCGTGATTGAAGGCACAAAGGTGATCATAACATGCGAAGTGGCTGGAAGCGAACCTTTAGGTATCGCTTGGTACAAACAAAATGTACAAACGCCTCTGTCGGGGTCGAAAACGCTTACTTTTGATTCAATACATCGGAGAGATAGTGGCCAGTACCGGGTGAAAGCCTACAATGGAAGAGAATGCGAACATACAGCGCCTAAAATCCTTCATGTGACAGTCATGTGTAAGTGGAATAAATAGAGGTTATTAGTGTTATGACACTGCTAGTTGTGTATTACAGCCCGATAATTTTACGCGTGAAAGGCGGACGGACGGACGGACGGACGGACGGACGGACGAACCGGGGACGGACGGACGGATGGATGGATGGATGGATGGATGGATGGGTATGATTTGATATCACATGCATTAATGGTCATAAAAAATATAATTTGGATGATGCATTACAGATTTGGACGAACCTCAAGTCCTCGGCAAAAAATACAAAGTGTTCAGTCCTTCAAATCCAAAAGTTCACTTCAAAGTCAACGTGGATGGCTACCCAAGGCCTAATTTTACGTGTCGGAGGGAAGGTGGGTCTGGCTCCTCTTTTACCAACGTTTCTATCGCCCACCAAGTGCCAGGATCAAAGTGGATATTATCCGTCTACATATTTGCAACAGCAGATGAAAAATATTATTGTGATGTTAGGAACGACGCTTTTAATAGGCTGATAAAGTTTAAAGTGTACAAGCAAGGTAAGTCAATTTTCACTTTTGTCTTAATGGAATTTATTATGGCAATTAATAATAAACAAAATTGATAATGATAATGATGATAGTGATGATGATGATGATGATAATGAACTCCTAACATTGATTACGTTCAAAAGTCATTATACTGTGTAATGTTATAAAAAATAAGAAAGATGACAGACTCTAGTGCCTCGACACCATGTTTTGTCAAATAGCTGTTTTCCTTATCGATGCACACCATTACTTTTTCCTAAAGTTAACAAGTCTTTAAAAGCCTCCCACTTTGCAAATCGTATTTTTGAAACCAAGAACACTTTCCGTAACTTAGAAAAAGTTTTGTTGTCAAAATAAGAGGATTTTTAACGACGAAAGATTATTTATCATATGACCCGTACGGCCCTGCTCGCGCGCTCTAATAAAACCATTGGAAAAAGTCACGTGATGGGGGCCGGACGGGTTGACGTAAGCGGGCCGGAAAAACCAGTCCGGCCCTGCTCGAATCCGCGCGCTTTCTTTTTCTTAGTTATTTTTATTTTCGTGAGGGTCATATGATAAAATGCTTATTGACTGAGTTAGGTCGGGCCGTACGGGAAAATATTTGGCTCTCGGTCATTTGTACGGACCTCGCTGCGCTCGGTCCGTACGACATGACCTCGAGCCAAATATTTTCCCGTACGGCCCTCCCACTCAGTCAATAAGTACATAGGATTTACACAGATTTGCACAACTAATCATTTTGAAAACTTGCGCACGCTCACGCTGCATTACGCCACTTCTACTATCGATATTTATAACAATAGCCAGTCAAAGGGCGCTGTAGTTATTTTATAAATTTGTTTGTAATATGGACAGCTGTCCTTCAAACCATTCAATGAATAACTAATCCGATGACTTTATTTAAAGGTCCACCAAAAAAAATCAACGGAACATTTATTTTAACAAACGCATCTTGGAGTGAGAACCTAAAGAATCCAAGTAGTGGTGCTTACTTTAAGTTGAATACGAAGATCAACCAAACGGTAAATATGATTGTTATTATCATAAGATTATTTCATGTTATCTTGGAAGAGAAACTAAATGAAAATTATAAAAACATGGCAAAATTTCCATTAATCATGAGGAAAGACCGGGAGATGAGGAGTTGCAAAATCTTGATACAATAACAACTACAACAACATGAGAGTAATATGAAAAACAACGGCAGCGACGATAACAACAGAAACAACGATCAACAACTGAGAAGAGTACCAGCATTAACAAGTAATGACTCTCAGTTCTATTGTGCATTTCTAATCATTAAAATAATTTCTTTTTTTTTTAGCTTGAACTTGTTTATGCAAATGAAGAATTCGTAACGGCTTGGCGAATATTATCATTCGTGTAAGTTGATATCTCGTGTGGGTTTTTAGACACGTCAAAAAGCCATCCTTTTTCACCGATACCTGGTACTTCCAGTCCTTATATATATTTGTTAAAGATCCTGGTAGTACAAATCTTAACCAATTACCACTGTTTTCACTTTCACGAATCCTGAGCTCTGATTGGCTGAGCCACTAGTGGTATAATAGAGATGAAGAGCGAAAGGTGCCGCTTTTGAAAACCAAAACAACACGAAAAAATAGGTTATTTCAATCTCGTTTCTACATTTTTAGTATCCATTTTTGGACCAAGTAGTAAAGGAAATCGCACGATCTCGTGTACAATTCGGAATTGATAAGTACGAACGATGTTTTGAAAGTTTACAAGAATGGACGAGCCTTTATCACTCGTACCACCCAATACGGTCTGGGAGAGAAGTGGACCGTAGGGGAATGGAATGAAACTAAAGCGGCTGCGAGGGAGACTATGAGTAGGTTTGTACTAAAACAATTAGACCCCTTGCACTCATGGTGTACGAGTCAATAGTTCATTCGGTCATTATGGGATATCAGCTCATAGACCATTGGGGCTGCGGGTGTAATTGTTAAATAGACAACTAGACAAAATTTTTTGTAATTCGTGGTACTGCTCGTTAACCTGACAGTGTCCTTGGCTGTGGTATATTCGATTTCTTTTCTTCAATTAACATTGTAACTGAAATGTTCGAGTTAGTGTGTCCATAAATAACGTGTATGATCCTAATGTATCTCAGAAACAGAAAAGGAAGTGTTGGCGTAAATTTTCAGCTTGACGTCATTGCCAACGTCACAGATCCCATCATCCTGTTAAAGCATGCCGTGGACAAAAATGGAGGAAAGCTCAATGGACTGTCAATCGATCGTAACAGCATTAAGACAGGTATACATACGTTTAATAATACCATCTGTGAGTTAGCCCAGTGCATGCCCTAAGTTTGATCGGCCTGTTTCAGGGTTTAAAAAAATTTGAATTTTTGAAAGATTCATATTAAAGTAAAAATTAATACAAAAACAATGTACGATCTATAAAAAATCTATTGTTGAATGAAGTAAACAGAAATGCTAAACAAAGTTATTTACCGGTTCATATACTAACTTATAGTACACTCAACAAAATTACTCGACTCTGATTGGTCGAGAGGAGTACAATTATACCGTTAATTGTACTCCGTTGGAGTACCGAATTAAGTCGCTATGGCAACACGGCCAAAATAATGTCAAAACAATTATTTTCTATCATTTCGTACTTAAAAAACATAAATAAAATTTTAAAGCCGTAAGAACTAATCTTTTTTATGCATTTCAGTTGCGCGATGGACTGAAAATCGGCCGCCAAATAGATAAAGATGAACGGCGTCGCTTCGAATTTTTTACTGAAATTTTGTTGAGTGAACTATAAACAAAAAATCGCACGATCTTCTCGTACAATTTGGAATTAATAGACACTCGTAATGTTTTGGAAGTTTTTTAATTTCACTCGCCTAAAGGTTCGTGCAATTACAAGAACTTTCAAAACATTACTCGTGTCTATTAATTTCCAAATTGTACTCGAGATCGTGCGATTTCCTATACTAATTGACATTTTAGTTCTATTTAGTTTTATCACTTTTTCCAGTGGGTTTATTGCGTGCATGCACTCTACCTTGACATTTGCTTTGAAACTGAATTTAATACTTAGGATATTTATCACCACCCAAAGATGGCGAAACAGCTGGTAAGGCAACAGAGTCGGATAACAAGACAGGGATGTATGTAGGCATTGCTGTTGGCATCTTTGTTCTGTTAGTGTTGTCGCTCGCTACACTTTGGTTTTATTCCAAACGAAGAGGTGAGACGTCACAAATTTAATTGTGTTTAAATTGGACTAACTGAATAACTCAAAAAATATTGGTAATTTATACTTTTCATATCTCTAGGTGAAAGAGTATCTGATAGGAGAAGCAATGAATCTACAGGTAAGATCAAGAAAGAATATAATATGCATGTTTCAGTAGCTCGTTTGCAGGTTTTCCCTTCTTGAATAGGCTCGCGGAGCCGTTTGAAAAGTGGATGCACTTTGGTGGATTCTCCTTCCCTCTAGTAAACATTGTATTTACAATATTTAGTCAAAAGAACTATTTCGCTATGTTTTTCTGGTTAACGTTGTCCATTCATGTCTGACTACTTTCGTTACAAAATACGACGTTGAATTTATACCCCAAAAGCGTCGATGCTGCGCACGCCAACCTCTGTAAAGTGAAGGGGGCACCCTCGGCTTTGCCGCCTCATATATTTTGGGTTGTTTATTGAACTAATTTCAGTGCTAATGTGTTATTGGTGCAAAACGTTTTCTTGGCATAAAATTGTCGTCCAAAATATCTAAAACCAAGCGCGGCTTCGCAAATGTTAGTGAGTCAAAAAAAGAGAAACTGTGGCGTGAAACTAAAAGGTCACGTAGTATCAAAGATCTGCCAAAAATGGCATCCTTTATTAAAGGTACGGATCAGTGATATTGTTGAACCGGGTTATCCCTTTTTATCTTAGGCATGGAAATGATTCGTTTTTACGGGGAATCTTTAGCAAGTCCGCAGGGCAAGTCTCTACAGCAAACGCTTTTATTTAAATAGTTGTCACCTTCGCTGCTACCATTTCAATCATTTCTACCGGACAAAGAATGTGCGTTTTGCACCACGCGTTCTCGTGGCAGATTTTCAATCGACTGGTTATATTTCACACATTCACTTGTTGATCTACAAATACATTAAACGCAATAACATATCAGACTATCCTAATAACAATTAACATATATCAGTAGTCCGTAGACCTACAAAACTTTGCACTA